CCTTCTTTATGAGCTTGTTGATCTTTTTTAAGTCACTTGCTCTGGTGCTGCTCCCCCAGCAGATGATGGCAGAAGAGACAGCACTCTCTACAACAGACTTATAGAAGATATGCAGCATCTTGCTGCAAACGTTGAAGGACTTCAGCTTCCTCAAGAAGAAGTTTTTTAAGAAGAAATTTTGTTAGAAGTTACTGTAAAAACAAATTTCTAAAAGAAAACTTAAGAGCATCTCACAACATTTCTGATGTGTTTTAAATCTATTTGTGACATTCTGTCAATTTACTCCAAGAGCAATCAACATCATACAAGTACAAGATTTGAATGTGCCCTTTACAACACTACCGTAATATTTCTGCTTTCACAGCTCCATCAGCTTGTTCTAATCTTTTACGATCTATTATTGTCATATCGCCCAACCCAGCTCCGACTGTCACATGGTTTTACATCTCAGACTTTGCTGGCAGTATGAAAGTGGGATGACATAAATTACTGCCGGTATATTAGCTCAGTCATAGTTTTATCAACATTTGAGTAGGTGATGATAAAACAATTCACTTGGGTCACACACAGGTCATGACAGCAATGAAACACACTAAAATAAAATCTCTGTTTATTCTTCTTATGCTCAAAGGAAGTAAACATTCCAAAAGGATTAATTTTCTGGTATAAAACAGTTAATAGCGACAAAAATAAGTTAAAAATCTGAATAATTATACCAAAATGCCATTTTATTCTTGATTCCTGCAGATCTGTTCTATAGCTTCTACATTATAAATCAGCATTAAAACCACTCCTTTAAAAACTTAAATATTTAATATCATGACAAACAGGAAAACAAGCTGGTGTTGGAGCCTTTCAAACAAAAGCTGTCATAAAAACAGATTAAACGTGAAAATTATTTGAGCTTTTATTGTTTGAGCTTGTTTTTTGAGTGATTCATGTATCAACATGTCCAAAACTGAAACAATACTTTAATTATAAAACATTTACCTTCTTGTATTAGTCGTCTGGAAAACTCGACAGTGATGTCAATTAATTAATTTTGTCTCAGGGCATAAAAGCTTAATGTTGAATTAAACGTATTTTAGTCAAACTTTTATTTTTAATTGTCTTGAGGAAAAAAGTGAAAATTTACAATTGAAAGAGGTGTACATTGAAGCATTTAGTGTTAATCTTGCAATTCATATTCATTTTTAAGTAATTAAGTATGAGCTGCTGGTTTGGTCTAAATATGGTCTTTGTCTCATTAAAAGGAACTTTGCTTTGATTCCAGATTTCTATAAATTTAAATGAAAAAAGTGGCTTTGACTTTTACTACAGAATATCCAAGAATTGTATAAGCAAAGTCTTTTTTCAAATGTTCATGTTGTGCATGTTTAACTGGCTACAATCCTAAACAAATTATTTGGCATGAACAAAGGAAGTTTAATTTCCAGACTACACAAGCTATAAATAAAAGAACGATGGGGCTGAAATTAGAACATTTCCATTTCTCTCAGGAAACATTTAAGTAAATTAATCCATTCATCTCAACAGCTCTGCACATGCAGCATTAACCATCATGAAAGATGAAAGGGTGACACAAAGAGGAAGCCTTTGGTCACTGCAGTCTACCTGCGCTGCTAATGAGGGCAAAATTATTATTTTAAACAAGCTGATGTCCCTCATTGCTGAGGAATCTGAATAGCGAAAGTTCATAATTTCTGAGATGAGTGCTTTTCTATACTGGAAATGAAAAGGGAAAGTAGATAAACCTAAATGTTTTTAATATTCAAGCGGGGAGGAGTTACACTGTGGAGAAGATCAGAGGGAGTATTTTTGTTTTGTTGCTCGTCTGAAGCGGTGTGGAGTCACCGGTGGATCCTGACGAGTGAAGGGGCAATTTTATTCACCACCAGGATGCAACTGGGACCCTGTTTACACAATTTTGTTCCACAACATGTACCACATGAATGACAAATAAAGAAACTCTGACTGACAATGGCAGAGCCAGGGGGTGGCCAGTGGTGGCCTTGGTCACCATAGATTAATCTTTGGCCACCTCAGTCATTTGAGGAAAATAATTTTAAGCAATATAATACCTAGAAAACATACTGGTAATTTCTTCAAATGACGGGGTGGCCAGTTTACACACACAAATATATATAATTATTAGGGGTCTAACAGTACCGTTTCGGTTATTTTTTCACTCATTAATTTTTTTTTATGAGAGATAATGCGCTGTGGAACAAAAGTTCCTAAGCGTGTTTCAGCACGTGCTATTATCTTGCAGCACACTAGCATTAGCAGCCTAGCATGTCATTGTGGTCTCCTGTTTTGGAACATTTTGGCTTTCTTGTTAAAAGACAAGTGTAAATCCAAAGCTGTGTGTCGACAAAGTTTCATGGAGAGTGGATCTGCAGCAGCAACACGTCTACCTTGTCAACGTTCTTGAAATGACATCCGAACGTGAACGTCTCTTCTACAAGCAAGAAAAGCAGCTTGTTGCAAAGACCGATAACAGCAGCATTTAAACAACTTTTATCAGGTAATTCAAATCGGTCCAGAGCAATAACACAAGCTGTAGGAGTTTTTAAAGCTCTGGATCTACGTCCGAATGTTGTTGATGCGCCGGCTTTAAAATTCTTGAGCTCCGCTACGACATCACGTCACGTCAACACTTCAGCCAAAAAGTTGTAGCAGCACTTTACGAAAAAGCTAAAACTGATACTGGGTATGTTTACATGGACATAAGTAACCGGATCAAATGGCCGGTCGGAATAAAAGTGTGTCATGTAAACACTCCGTTCGGGTTATTTTTTGTGTATTCGGCGCGATCCGATATAATTTGTGATCAGAACGAAAAGGGTGGTTTACGCCGATCCGAAACCCGATCGGTGCGCATGTAAACACTTGATCTGTTCGTTTTTATCTGATGGTGAAAAACTGACCTGACTGCGCATGTGCAACTTTGCCATTTCCGCCTGGCTAATGCTAATAATATTAGCATGTCAGGGAAGCAAAACTGGTCAGTGAGCGACAACATTTCTACTAGAAACTTTTAAAGAGCTCAAAATGATCTGTATTACCTGTAGCTCAGTCAGGGAGTGCAATAACGTCTCCACCATCATTAAAACCTGTCACGGGTCCATTTTGGGTGCTCAGGTTTGTTTACATTCACCCCGGAAGTAGAACTTCTTCTTCAGTGTTTTTTTTAAGGAGAGTTTACCACTCTGCGCATGTCAGTACTGCTGTTCAGAACAAAGCTCGCTGCATGTAAACGCTCGTCATGAACAGATTGTGCCCATGTAAACAACACATTTGAATTATTCAAACAGAACACATTTCAATCCGGTCAAAGAATTCTGCGCATGTAAACATAGCTATTGTCAACAAGCCCTGGAGCCCAGATTAAAGCCCTGTCCTGATGATGATGACGACCGAGATTCAACCACCTCATAACAACTGGTCAAGAAGAGGTATTGTTCTTTTATTATTATTATTATCTAATTATATTTCTTTTTTTTTCAAATTTTAATCTTATTAACTCTTTTTTTTAATACCTATTTGTGTTTTATTTTCAGTCTGGGACAGAGATAACAGCTGTGTCTTCCTGTTCTGGGAAATCACCTCCAGCTAAGAAGTCTGTGATGACTGAACTCTGAACTTTTCCAGGAATCTGTTCCACCTGTGGGAGCAGGTCCAAGAGGCTGTGAGTAATGATGAGGCCAAATACAGCCACACTGCAAAATTAGCAAAGCTCTACCTCTTTATTCCTGCTACTGTCGTTAGTGAGCGGTTTTCTCCACCGCTGAAGTATTCACTGCAACTAGAGCTGAGCTTTAGGCAGAAAATGTGGACAAGTTGGGCTTTTTGGACAAAAACTTAAAACTTGATTATTTAGATTGTAAACAGTCTGTTGCTGCTTATTGTTCTGGTATATACACACACACACACACACACACACATATATATATATATATAAATATATATATACACACACACACACACACACACACACACACACAAAGGTATATATAACTATATAATACTAATTTGGCTTTTATAATGGATGTGAATGGTTTTGTACAGTGCCCTGAGACGACTTCTGTTGTGACTTAGTGCTATAGAAACAAATTGAATTGAATTGAACTGTATGTTGGTGGCCATCTTGTATTTTGATGAAAATTCAACAAGTCTGCTGGCGTCCTTAGATAGAGAACTTTTACTAATTGGCTTTTGTATGTCCAGTATGTGAATGTTTCTGTTCAGTGCCCTGAGAAGATTTCTGTTGTGACTAAGTGCTTTATAATTAAACTGAACTGAATTGATGTGACAACCCAATTTTGAATAGTGACCTTTCTTATGACCAAATGCAGCCACACACCCAACATTGAAGTACTTCACTTATGTTTCAAGTTATCCAGCTCAAAACACAGATGAACATTTATAGCGGCAGCCATCTTGGATTTTGATGTGGCAACCCAATTTTTGACAGGTCTCTTTGTTATGTTTTATATTCTTGTTTTTAGTATTTTACTTAGTTTTATATGGCACCTTGATTTATTGTTTTATACACTATTTTTATTTTAATAGCATTTTACTGTAGTTTATTGTTGTCTGTACTTTATATGTTGTCTTTCTAAAACAGGTCTCCCTTGTAAATGAGTTCTCTGACTCAGTGAGACTAACCTGGATAAATAAATGTTGAATGAATCTGTGATGGGGGACAATAATTTAAAAATAGTTTAACATTTAGATACAAAAAAACTACTTTAAAGTCTACAAAATAAATCCATACTACATGCATTTATAAGTTTAACAGTGTGAGCAAAATGCTCGACTGAACCTCCACTCTGAATTGGAGAAACAAATTGTTGATCGACCACCAATTAGACATGTTTATCATGTTGTCTGATTGCTGGATGTGTAATTACACATTAATAAGTAGATACAAACACTGTAATAAAAATAATTGCCCAATAAGTACGAAAAGTCATTTAAAGTGTGTGAATTCCTACCGCTTGTGTCTGTGCCTTTCTGAGGCGTAGCGACTCGCAGGAAGATCTGCTGCCTCCATGAGTGCCGCTGACTCGGCAGAGGACTTTCCTTTGTTGGTGTAGAAAGAGCGGCTACATCGCTGAAAGCACAAACACACACAAATATGGTCACGTGTGCAAAGACAAGCACTCACACTAGTTTACACACCTGCTTTAATCAAATAAAGGTGCTCATTCTGGCACATAGGTCTTAATAGTTTGTGTATGTGCGTATTGATAAGTACCTGCTCTTTGAGTCAGGACAATCATTCTCTTGGACAGGAGCCAGAAATTGAAATTTCAGAAAATTAGGGACAGAGGAGGAGGAGTGGAGACGGGCACGGAGACCACCCAGAGCACTGAGATGGCAGCGATAAAGAGGAAATTACAGATGACAAAAAAAAAAAAAACATGGACCCACATCACACAGAGACAATGTCACTTTAACTCCACTGATGACAATAAAACACGTTAACTTTTAAAGTGGAGAAAAACAAAATAGAAACTAAATTTGCTGCTGAATTGTCCTCAAAGGACAATATGAACAGCAAGCTCTGATGAAGGAAGGAAAGCATGAGCACAAAAACAAAGCAAAGAACAAACAGCACTCTCACCTTCTCTTATTAAACCTGGTTCCAGCAGAAGGTGAGGAAGAACGACGGACAAGGACAGGAGAGGGGGATGAAGAGCAGGGAGGAACAGGAGGAAGAGCGGAGTCGGTTGGGAGATTTCTAAGAGTCGGTGCAAACGCAGAATAAAAAATGAAGAGGGAGATGGACACTGAGCAGTGCATGAAAACTGAACAAAGTGAAACAGCAGCAGATTTAGCAGAGCTTGGACAAAAACTGAAAGAACAGTAAAAAAACAAGTGTTTTCTTTTTGTTTATTTCAAGGTTTGCTTTTTAGTTTGGTCAAGATATCTGTTTCAGTTTCAGCCTTAATTAGAGGGTAATTACTTTAATGGTGTGACCGAGCTCTACCTGTTGTCTACTGGGGGGGTAGCAAAGAGGAGAGTAAGTGAAGGTAATGTTCAGAGGGCAACGTAGAGCTACACCTAAATGTACTGTTCTACAACTCATTGATATTAAAGCATCCATCCATCCATCCATCCATCCATCCATCCATCCATCCATTTTACTTTTTCAAGTTCAATAAACAGATTAACTGTTCCACAAAAAAAGCTTCTTCCATTTAAGGCAGATAGCGAAACTTAAGTTTGTGCTGTCCAGATCTGTCCTTGAAAAAAATAGTCCATGCATTTGTTACAACCCAGCTGGACTACTGTAACGTGCTTTATGTTGGGGTCAACCAGGTCTCCCTTTCACGTCTCCAGCTCGTCCAAAATGCTGCAGCTCAGATCTTAACAGGAACTCGTAGGTTTGATCATATTTCACCAGTTTTGTCCTCCCTCCACTGGCTCCCTGTGCGTGTCAGAATCAATTTTAAAATTCTCCTGTTGACATTTAAGTGCATTAATGGTCTTGCACCCTCATCCCTCTCTGACTTACTTCAACCTTATGTTCCTTCTCGGGTGCGGAGATCATCTGATCAGCTGCTTTTGGTTGTACCAAAAACCAGGTTGAAGCTCAGAGGAGATCAGGCTTTTTCACTCATTGGCCCTAAACTCTGGAACTATCTGCCCCCCAGCATCAGACAGGCCACTTCACTTCCTGCTTTTAAATCTCTCCTGAAAACACACCTGTATTCACTAGCTATGTTTACATGCGCAGAATTCTTTGACCGGATTGAAATGTGTTCTGTTTGAATAATTCAAATGTGTTGTTTACATGGGCACAATCTGTTCATGACGAGCGTTTACATGCAGCGAGCTTTGTTCTGAACAGCAGTACTGACATGCGCAGAGTGGTAAACTCTCCTTAAAAAAACCACAGAAGAAGAAGTTCTACTTCCGGGGTGAACGTAAACAAACCTGAGCACCCAAAATGGACCCGCAACAGGTTTTAATGATGGTGGAGACGTTACTGCACTCCCTGACTGAGCTACAGGTGATACAGATCATTCTGAGCTCTTTAAAAGTTTCTAGTAGAAATGTTGTCGCTCACCGACCAGTTTTACTTCCCTGACATGCTAATATTATTAGCGTTAGCCAGGCGGAAATGGCAAAGTCGCACATGCGCAGTCAGGTCAGTTTTTCACCATCAGATAAAAATGAACAGATCAAGCGTTTACATGCGCACCGATCGGGTTTCGGATCGGCGTAAACCACCCATTTCGTTCTGATCACAAATTATATCGGATCGCGCCGAATACACAAAAATAACCCGAACGGAGCGTTTACATGACACACTTTTATTCCGACCGGCCATTTGATCCGGTTACTTATGTCCATGTAAACATACCCACTGATGTTTAACACAGTGTGATCTGATTTATTATTTCATTGTTTCTCACTGTGTTTGTGTTTTTATGTTTTTATTTTTGTTGCTTTTAATTATATCTTATTTTTTACTTGATGCTGTGATTTTATTTTTAAGCGCTTTGGTAACCGTTTCCGTTTTAAATTTGCTCTATATTTGACTTGACTTTTCTTTTCAGGGCTGCATGGAGCTGGTGTCTTATCTCCAGCAGTCACTCTGTGTGTGTGTGGGGGGGGGGGGGGGGGAGACAGCCCGACAGGATGCAAGTCCATCACAGAGACCAGTAGAGACCACTCAGACAAGCTTAGGGACAATTGAAGTTACCAGTTAACCTAACACCCATGTTTTTGGCCTGAGCAAGTAAACTGAAATACATGGAGAAAACTTGCACGTGCATGGGGATGTTGTGCTAAAAAACTAAAAAGTAACTCAGTAATCCAGTAACTCTTCATTAAAATGACATCGACTCATACTATCATTGACAAAAAACTCAAATAAACCACAAAAAAGCAGGAAAATCGTTTGTTCTATAAATTCCAAACTAGGTTCATTTTCTTTGTTATTTGCTTTTGGGTAAAGCCAGCTGGCTGGACCAACACGTACAGCCCAAACTAGCTCGGTAACATTCTCCTTTGTTTGTAGAGATGTGCACGTTCAGCTGGTGGCTGATGACTGCAGAAGTTATGGATGTACGCAACTAAAACATTTGTTTGTAGGAGTTGATGGTAACTGTGATGATCTTATAGAGTATTAGAGTTAAATGTTTGACATGCTCTTTGCACGTGTAAGCACCAAAACGCATATTTAAATCCAAACCCCTAATCAGCATCTATAAAAACAGGTTTAAATGAACAGGAACTCTCCTCACTTGCTCTGGTGTGGGGAGTCGGTGCTGACAGAGTAGTGTCGTACGAGTTTGGGTTTGGTAGCTGCACCGGGGTCTTGCCCTGCGTGGGGAAGTTTCTGCAGTGGAGAATACTCGAGTACCGAAGAGGAGGTGGGGGAATGGCTGAAAGTGCTGGCGCGTCGGCGGAAGCCCTGTAGCTCAGGATCGCCGGGCAGAGAGGAAGAGGAGAACAGAGGAGATGATCTGTCAAGAAGCTTCAGGTCTCCTGTTGAGTTGTGGCCCCTGAAGAGAAAGACGGGGAAGAGGAATGCATGCGTTAAACAAGCTAACTGCAGCTCTACACAAAACAGGTAAAACAAAGTTATGCTCGTTTGTGGCGTCATGTGTATCAGTTATCTTGCTCGCAACACATTTTGCATTTATTATTATTTTTCATGCAAGCTGGGGAAAAACACACTAAACTAGACAATGACTTCAGGATAAAAATGTATTTTGCAAATGAAGAAATGCACGATTTTTGCCATTTTCTACAACAAAAGATAAAATGGTGCAAATGTAACACCACATTGAATTAAATGTTACAATTGATTTTGCAACAGTATTTTATTTTTTTTACAGAAAAACATAAATATGTGAAATAACTTTGAAAGTTCTGCTCATATTCCTTTGTTTTGAAGTGTACCTCTCGTAAAATCTCAGTTTGATGGGCTGTGAAGCCCTGCCTGCTCACCTTACAACCAGAGTCCTTAAAACAAGCAGGTGAGGGTCCAGACCAGACCTGCTTTTTATATCACAGCTAATGGACAACAGAACATCCCAACTGGTTCATCAAGCTGAGTTTTGCATTATTTATACAAAAAAATCTAACTATAAAAATCACACTGCCAGTACATTTAAAGTACGGACAGCTCTTCAATGAGATGAGTCAGTGTGCACACAGGTGTGTTTACCTGAGTGGGCTGGTGGGTCGTAGAGGTGAGGAAGACAAGGAGTCATCAAGAGAAGGCTGCTCTTGGCTGCTGTTGCAGATATAATTAGAAGAGCTGCTCTCACTTCCCTGACTGTTGTCCCTCTGAGGTCTGGACCTGCTGCTTCCCTAACAAAAACACACAAGCCAAAGGTACACACTTGTAGTTTGCATGGAACCGACACCTTGTCCACGCGTTGTATTCACATGTTATTACAAGCTGATAGCAAACACTGATAAAAGAATCCAACCAAGAGTCACAAATGACACTCTTCTGGATCAGTAAAGAAATATGCAGCTCATATTACATACCGCTGACGGGACTGAACAAACAGAACCATATCTGCACAATCCTGGATCAGGGGGTTCAATCACATGAATCAGGGGTGGACATAAACGGTTTCTGATTGTCCAAGATAACCTATTTTCATCTAGGATAACCAGATCTCTCCTTGAGGTTGTCTGGTGGACAACCAAGTGAAAGAAACATGGATTAATCCGTCGTGGGAGCACGCTCAGCATGAGTGTCACTCACGACGAGTGAAGAGGCTGCGTCTGCTGCTTTAGTTCTTAGAATTAAATAATATCAACACTAAATAGATATTTATATACCCCAGATTATAGCAAAGAAGTGTCTCCATTTAACTTTAATTTTCTTCCCCAAACTTACATATCTCTCTCTGTGTGAGAGTCAGTTTCAGATTTTGTCATAAAAAACATTTCAGTCAAAATATTTTTTTTCCTGCTTTAATCCCTGAGCCTTAAATACGCTGCGAGTGACTCTCTTGTAAAGTCTGATGACGAGGAAGATGATGATGAGAATGAGGAAGTTCTACAGCTCCTGAAAGAGTCTGCCACTCAGTAGCTTGGAAACTCCACGCAGCCCACAAAATGGCTGACTGAGAACATTTGTATATAGTAAACTTTGTGTATCGTACAATATACTTATTAAATTACTTTATTTGTAAAAAAAAAAAAAAAAAAAAATGGTGCCTTTTTTGTTGTAAAGTTTCCAGACAACCGAAATTTTGGTGGGCAACCAGATTCTGTCAAGAGGAATGGGCCATCTTAAGCAGATCAGAAGTTATGAGCAGGACAAGAGAAAGTTTACGTTTGCACAAACGAAGACTAAACCATAAAATGTCCTCCTTTCAACAGGCGTGTATTAAACAGGAAAACAAAGATGGAAAATCATTTCATAAGTGTGTACTTGTGCAAATATGATCACATACCTTCCAGATGCCTTCTAGAGACTCTGTAAGAGAGCGCTTTGCTCTGCTCTTGAACGCCTCCAGCCGACTGCTGCTCTGCTGCTGAGAATCCTGAGGAGCTGCATCCTCACATGCCTGCAATCACAGCACAGATCCAAAGAGATGAACAACAAACATAAAGTTCCTGCAGATGCAGAGGTAGTTATTTGTTTCTTAGCTTCTTGTGGGGTACTACAGAAGATTTTCTTAGGACGGTGAGTTGATTATTTTCATCTTGAGAAGTCGAAGCTGGTTTTCCCAATGTATGGTGCAAAAATGTGTGGGTTCATGTTAGACCTCCTTTCATCACTCAGTCACTACCGTCATGACTTTTTGAGATGACCTATATCAAAGTGTGCATCACTGGTGGATGTTCTTTGTGACAGCTTGAATCCATTGCCGAAATGACTGCACTGGTTTCTGATAAAGTAGTAACTCTTAACTCTGATTCAGAAATATTCTTTGGTTATCACAATGAGCTTTTTAAAGTCAAAATAACTAAATATGGTATATAAACCTGTTAAACTTGATTATATCAAGATAATGATAAAACTACTTATCATGAGGAAGTAAATGTCCGCTCACTTCTGTAGTCTAGTCATTTTCACACAGTAAGTTCGTCATGTGAACACAACACACATGATGGTTTGCTCTCCTTTTAGTTATTTATGCAGAGTGAATGGAGGTGGCACAGGACCGTGATAGTATGTATTAAAAAAAACAGCAAGACAGAACGTTTAGAGCAGAACACTGAACAGTGTTGGTTCTACACTAAATACCAATCACCATGACCACGTCAATCGTCAGTTCAGAAGCATCTCAACTTTGATTTTTGCTGTTCTGCTTCTGCTCTAGGAAAAAGACTGAGGTGCAACAAACATGCGCTGCTCCTGCCTTGAAATGTGCTGTCAGAGTACAGCGTATGGCACATTATACATCCGTCGACAATGACATATTATATAGCAAAAAAGCAACCATTGCAATAATCCAGACAAGCAAAGGCCTTGTATAAAATTTGACCTTGATTTGTGACCATGACCGTTGAGTTGGGGTGTTGAAAATTGCATTACATTATGTCTAATGATGATGTATATTCAGTTCAGTGTATTTATATTTGCTGCAATGAAGACCAAGTCCAGGTCCCAGCTAAACATTTAGCTGAGAGTTGCAGGATCATGTTTCAAACTGCGCTTCAAAAAGCTGTGCACTGCAAAACATGCTCATTAGCCATTAACCCTAACTTCCTCATTTTGATTAAAAAAAAATTAAAAATCAGCACAAATTGTTTTATTCATTTTTGTTTTGTAGGTCAAAGTGTTTTGTATAACACTCCAGACTTAAAATGTTGCTGATCAACTTGAATTTATTATTATTTATTTATTGTATTGAATTTGATTTTTCAGTATCAAATGGTCAAAAATGTTAACAGTTTAAATAAGGATTTTTTTTTAAATTTCAGGCAAATTGATGCACTTTAAGCCTTTTCTGTTACAGACTATAAAACAATGTTAATAATCTTTGTTGTAAGTTGATCTACATTTCTTTCTGTTTTTATTTAATGTTAATAAAGGTACAATGTTATGCAGAGGTGTACTTATAACAATTTTAGACTAATTATACTATTTACAGACGCAGCGGAGAGTTGTGGGGACACAAAATGTTTACTTCTTCCTGGGGGGGTAACAGAAAACAATTGAGAAGCACTGATTTAAAGAAATGAGGTCAGTTTGTCCTCTAGTAGTCCAAGTCAACCCTAACTATAGGATTTATCAAAAAGGAAAGTCTTAAGCCCAGTCTTAAAACTGGACAATGTGTCAGCCCTGTATATGTGTATGAAGTTTTATAAAATTATCTTGAGCAGATCAGAACTTATGGGCAGGACAAGAGGACGTGTGGACATATGTACAGAGACCTTAACGTAAGACGAGCATATAATAAACAGAAGAATGAAAGTAGAGTAACTTGAGAAATGTTCGATGTAGAAAGTGTACCCGCTTGTTGTCTCCAGGCCAAATATGCTGATGGTTCTTCTGTTTCTCCTCACAGAGGTTTCTCAGAGAGACCATCACTAACTCGTTTTCTTCCTGGTCACTCTTCGGCCGAGCTCGCTGGACACAAAAAAACCACAGCATTTATTAACATTTGAACTATTATGGAATAACATTTGATTAATTACACAAATATAAATTGTTGCAAACCTAACAGAACTGGAAATGAACACACAAGTTGTGACACCTTACATAACGAAACAACACATTGTGAACTTTTACGAGCAAACAGACAGAATTTTTATTTATTTCCTTCTTCCTTAACAGTTCTCAATCCAGTGGTTAAATAAATAATGGCAGTCATCTAGTACATGCAGGTTTGTGTTTACTCAACCTTTTTTCATTTTTCTGCCAGAGTATTGCTGGCAGGATACTGGAACAAAAAAATAAAAGTATCTGTCCCAGTCATGGAGTGTTGACTTCCCAGCTTATAAAAACTTTTTGCTGATATTGTTATAAAAACATTCTCATCCTCATTTTATTGTTGTTTTTACACTCTGATGTGTTTTTAAATTTTTAATAGTTTGTTTTCATGCTCTCTTGGTTTTTATTCAACACTTTGACCAACAGCTGCTGGTTTATTTGAGTCATATCAATAAAGTTAACTTGAAATGCAAACTCTACAGGTACTGAAGAAATTCATCTTTGAGCTCCGTCGTAGTTCAGATGCATTTCCAGCAGGTGTCAGCTGAGTCCTGCAGAAATGTGGGTCATTCCTTTCATGTTTTTAAACTCGTGTAACGTGTCTGCAGTTACCGTCCAACATGTGACATCAGCGCATGACAAGGACGAGTTAGAAGAGGCTTCAAACTATGAAAAGTGTTTGTTGGGGGGGGAACAGGTGAAAATGATATAAATACAATTTAAACACTAAAAAATGATGAGGTGGCTGAAACATCCCCGTCATGTGTAAAGACAGACGTGCATCCATGTAAAACCTCTGCACGGTGAGCTTGTGATTCCAGCGGTTCAATCAGCACTTGAACTTAAACTGCTGTTGGACTGGTTTGTCTTTTCAAGTTTCTTCTTACAGGTCCCCAGACAAACAGGAACATTACCATAGTGTTCTCAAAGACTGAAGCCTGCTCGTCGTTGTCCAGAGTGGCCAAGTGTTTCTGAAGCTCCAGTTTGGTTTTAGCTGGGTGCAGACCTGAAAAACATATAAAAACAGGAAGATTTGTTATAGATATAGATGGGTTCATAAGATTTCATATAACGTCATAATTAAGCCGCAAAATATCTGATGGGAAATAACACTTTGTTAGATTGTCTTCACACTGGATGACATCCTCGCTATGATGTAAACAACAAAAAAACAGAATGTGGATGGTCTTTGCAGGGTAATGGTGAGATCCACAGATGCTCTATAACACATCAAACTCAAGAGCTGCAGACCAAATTCTAGTAACCCAAGATCATTTAAATGTAAAGTTATCTCTTCTAATTTTTTATTTAAAAAAAAACAACTGATAAATGCATCATTTAGTATAGGCTTCTCTTGGCAACTGGCTAAATTTGGAGCCAGAAAGGCAGCCGGATCATTCTATAATTATTGACTCTGATGTGGAAAGAGTCACAGAACGTCACGTGAGACGGATCAAAACTATTGTTCATGAATCTGTATCCAAGAAAAGATATCGGTATCAAACAAAATCAGAATCGGCAGGTCAGACTTTTTAGAAATCGGTGATCGGTCAGAAAACTGCAATCGGTGCACCCCTAGTTTATCATAACGGTAATGGAAGTGAATAGAGTTCTGGGTGGTGCATGGTAGGAGTCCATGCCGTGGGGCCCACACACACCACAGTGGAGCAGATAAGGGACCAAATTCAGCAAAACCTTTTAAATATGGATGCAAGCACAACACTTTGCACAGAACTTCCCAAGTCACTGCTCTTTTAAAAAAGTACATTAGCTATAAATAATAATATAATTTAGCATGCGTGTTGCGTTTTCCTACCATAAAACATCATCTCACTACTGTACACATTTATACATCATAAATTTCAAGCTACTGAAATGTCATTTAAAAATAAAGCACTTTGTGTCAGCCATCTTGAAAAATTATGACCATTTTGAAATTTGGAGTGGCTTAATGTGATTTTATAAAAAAAAATATATAGCGTCACAGCAACTCCTATACCAATTTCTATGCTTGCATCCACATTCAAATGATTATTTCACTTATCTGTGCAACTACCAGTGTGGCTTAATCATTAAGCTTTTTAAGAACAGGCCGTGGTGCCTTCATGCCTAGGATGCACCCATGATCATTGCACGGTCGTGGAAACAACCTGGTGCAGACGTGACGCTTGGTGTGATGGGCATCAAGACCCGTGAAGGTGCAGAAAAGCATATCAGGGACATTAAATTGGCAGAATAAAATAATTATTTCAGAGATTTTCCAAATTTGCTGTGATTCAGCTATGATGCAAGAGGCTACATCATCCAGTGTGGAGGCGGGCCTTATGAGAAGCCATAGTTGTGAGAATAAAAATATTGTGTATTTTTAAACTTCAAGTATTCAACCAGTTTAAAAAGAAAAGGCCTTTAAGCTTGAAGTACTGTTCACGACCTTCTATTCTCTCACACAGCCTGTGGAGCTGCTGCATGGGGCAGCTGTCACACTGCTGGCTCTGGGTCTTTGCATTCTGCTGCAGGGCTGCCACCGTGAACGCCTGCTTTAAAGTCAGCATGATTTCATCCACCTGCAACAGAAAACAGATTTTAAATTCATCGGTTATAATCGTATCAATGCCTCTATGAGACAGCTGTTGTATATTTTTATTTTCCTAACAAACAAACAATGTAATCATTTTCATTCAGCCTTTATTTATCCAGGTAGTCTCATTGAGCCACGAGAACTCATTTTCAAGAGAGACCTGTTTAGGGAGCAGATGGGGGTTAGGGGCCTTGCTCATGGGCCCAGGGTGGGGCGAATGAGGGTGGAGGCAAGTGTGGGTGCTTCACCTATCCCACCCACATTTTATTTTTATTTTTTGATGTCGGTACGGGGGCGTGAACTGGCAATCTTCCAATCACAGGCCCACCTTCTCTAACCTCTGCGCCACCACTCCCCCAATCATTAAGTTTGGTTGTTGCAGACAGAAAGAAAAGAATATAAAATGTTTAAATTCTGGTAAAGAAACCGGAAAAACAAACTGAAATGCAAAAATGTGACAACTTTCATTTATTAGAAGTATTTTTATTTTTTTCAATATAGCGTAAACTAGAAGAGAGTGCTGTATCGACATCATAAAATTGGAATAAATTACAGAGTTTGGTTTGCTGCGAGTCAGAGGAGAACAGATGCATTGAGCTCTCTGGAGCTGCACTGCATCTTAAACACAACACTACATGAGAAATACAAGCTCCACGCTGTCCCAGGAAAACATGGGAGATATAAAATTATATTGCATTCAGGAAAAAATAAACCACAAACTTCTCGTCATTCAGACACGATGCATGATGTGTCGATGGATATTTGCACGTTTAAATCATTCATGCCCAACAACTATCCTTTTAAAAACAAAATTTTTCCATACAAGTGCAAAGTCAGTCACAATAAAAACTAACATTTTGTCCATTTTTTTAACTTTGTTTATTTTTTACCAATAGTCCCTCTTTTGGACATGTCCACAACAAGCAGGAGGTGGAACATCTGGAGCTTTTGGTGCAAAGATAACATCTGCATCAACGTGAAGAAGACAAAGGACATGACTGGGGTCTTAAGAAGGGCCAGACACCTGCTCTGATGATATCCATTTGTATTTGCCCATCAAGTCAGACAGGGTCACGACAATGGAACCACTCCTGAACTGTCTAAACATTATCAAAGTCTGGTTAAATCTAAATTTCCTGAATCTAAATGAAAATAAAACTGAAGTCATCAGCTTTGGTAAATGTAACACCCTTGACACTCTTGGCTCCTTGGCTTCATGCAGCCACTCCACTGTCAGGAACCTGGGAGTTATTTTCAATGGTGCTTTTAAATTAAACAGATACATGGATTTCTCCAGTTTCTTCCAAATACAGCTCATTGCCAAGGTGAAGTCTTGTCTCACTTCCAGAGACCTTGAAAAGGTGATTCATGCTTTTATTACCTCTCGTTTGTACTACTGTAATGAACTGTATGTTGGTTTAGATAAATTATCTTTACATCTCACAATCTGCCCAGAACGCAGCACCTCGTCTTTTAACAGCAACTAAAAAACACAAACGCATAACCCCTGTTCTGACTTCCTGTCCACTTCAGGAGTGATTTTAAGATTTTATTGCTTGTTTATAAAGTCTTAAAAGGTCTGGCCCCATTATATTTATGTGATCTTCTTAACATCCATCCACACTCCGGTAAGAGTACTCCAGTCTACCAACCAGTTCCTACTAGAAGTCCCCAGATACAAACTGAAGTCCAGAGGTTATCTGGCTTTTGCAGTTGCTGCTCTGAAATTGTGAAACCTGATCATTTAAAGACTGCAGAGACTGTTGAGACTTTTAAATATTTGCTCAAAACTCATCTTCATTCCTTGGCATTTGATCCACGCAGAGTCTGAGAACCAGTTATACCTGATTTTTATTGTTGGAGTATTTCATGGTTAACTTTCTTGTTTTTCCTGAGTGGCACAAGATGCACGTGTTTTTTGTTCTTATCGTTTTCATTTTAATTTGACTAAGTTGTAAAGCACTTTGGTCAGCTTTTGTTGGTTTTACATGCTATATATATATAAATAAATTGACGTTGACACCAATACCTGAGTGACAACCTCACCTGGAGCAAAAACATCCTCAGCCTGATCTGTAAGGCTCACCAGCACAAGATGTGTGTGCTTTGCACAGTGGAGATGCATTAAGGACTAAAAAATCCGACCCAGCCCGAACCCGTATCATTTTTTCCAAGCCCGACCCGAAACCAACCAATTAACTGCAATTACAGGCCTGAACCAGAAAACAAAACAAGCATTTTTTTTTATTAAGTTTTTACTGGTTTTGTATGCAAATCAGTTTGACATGATCTAAAAACATATTTTAAAAAAAAAGGAAGACATAACATTTCTTCTTTATTAACAAGAGTCGGTGGATTTTTAAAGTTATTATAATATTAAACCAGCCACTAGGGAGCACAAGCCAGTGTATTTCTTGTGCCGGTCCCAAGCCCGGGTAAATGGTGAGGGTTGTGTCAGGAATGGCATCCGATGTAAAACACAACAAAGAAGAAGTTATTATATTATAATATTATAGTTATTAACGGTCGTTGGATGCGCACGTCTGCTGACGCAGCGGCTGAGTCCAGTGAAGCTTCAGGTGGGTCACTGGCAGTCATCCATCTGGACTTTTTTTTTTTTTTTTTTTTTTTACCGCTTTCAACCGGCCGGTCAAAGATCGGTCAAACGGCTGCGTGCAGCTGGTGATCCAAATTGGATCGTCAGCCGCGCACGTCCGCTGACACAATCAAAAGCCCAACACTGACAAGTCCATCCAGCACATTATTTTGGCCTGACCTGAACCAGAAATTTGGCCTGTGTTCGGACCGGGCGAATTTCAGGTTCGGGCCAGGCTGGGTGCGGGCCTGGGTTAGAAATGACAGCTCTACTGCACAGAAGGTTGATAACTACCACAGTAGATATTTACACCTCCAGATGCAGGAAAAGGGCCACCTGCATCATCCACCCTGAACAAACCCCTTTCACCTTCCTCCACCCAGGCAGAGGCTGTGGAGCACCAGGAGCAGAACACCAAGACTGAGGAACAGCTTCTACCCTGAAGCAACTGGACTGTTGAACTCTGCAACTCTTCTGTTTGACCACTCTCTCATAACCATTTGACTGATTTTTGTACTGGTTGTTGCCCATCAAAAGGGAACTTTTGATCTCTTTCATGACTGAGCAGCCAGTAAGAGGAACTTGGTGCTTTCAAACTTCTAATTGTGAGTGAAAGTTGCAAAAGTTACAGCTCAACTTAAAAACTCCTAATAAAGTGTATGAATATATATAAATGGGACATGTTCCAAATCCATGTTTTTGTGTTTTAAACTGGAGACACTCTGTGTAGGCCGATTAGGAAAAAATATACATTCAAGACGGTCTCAAACTGAATATGAAATTTAAAAAATAAATGCATTTAAAACTTGACAAGTGCAACTTTTCCACTGAAGTAGACAGTTTGTAGAGAAGACAATGTCAGAGAAGGAGGAAACTATGTTTACCAGCAAAAACTTTTTTTGCCAATAGTTTATTCTAAATGTATTAATATAATGATCTGCAAACAGCTGTATGAACCATTAGAGGGTTAAAGAAACTTGTCATTTTATCTTTCCCCAAATAAACCACAGAAATATTAAAGGACTGGTATAGATGAGCTACAGAGCTGCTCTAATGGAAATGTCCAAATACACATCAAATTTAGAAGGAAATGTAGAACCAACGTGTTGACAACTTTTTATTTAGTGGGAAAGATGCCTAAAAATTACTTTTGAACATCAAGGACTCCCAGATGTCATTCACCCCAGCTTCTACTTCTTCTGCTATAAACTATCAACTTTATGATGATTCCTACATTCTAGTGCTAAGCACATAAAATTTTTTAAAAAAGTGGAAAATTGTGTACTTTTAAACAGAAATAACAAGAGGTGACGAACTAACAACAAATAAAAGGTTTTCCTGTTCAGGAATGCAGGTCATGTGATTCTCTCAGCCTCTGTTCATAAATAACCCATTCCTACTTAAGAAAGGAAAGTGAGTGTAATATATGAGCTGGTAAATGAATTGTATTAGGAAGCAAAATTAGGATAACCTCACCAGTGATTCATCGGTGCACTGGAAGACATAGCACACATAGTGCAAGTTTCCACCTTCAACAGTTTCTCTGCAAATGAAGCCAAAGTGATCAACGTGACGGATTCCCTGGAAAGTGATGAAAAAACAAAATTTCATATTTAACATAAAGTCAAAGAGACACCCTGGTAAATAAATGTGCTTCATACCTGGGAGCAGAAGGAGATTTCTCTGAAGCTCTTTTCTATGGCCACTTTCTTAGTGTCTGGACTAACCAAGAAGATCTGGGACCTGCCCACCTGAAACACCAGGAACAGACAGTTACAATGGGGTAATGTTGTGCTGCTGCTTTTAAAAATCTTCCAAGGTTTTAACTCTGTAGTTTGAGCTCTTCTAGAATTATATATAAATAGAAAGAAAAACAAAACATGTAAATGGGTTTTACATTGAAAACACTACAACACTGATGAACTGAAAAATTAATCTACAAAACACAAAGAAGTCTAAAAGTAAATATTTCAGGATTTTTTTTAAACTTCATGCGGTACTTTCAATGTTTTCTCTTTCTAGACAAGAGTTCATTTTAGACCAGCTCTGCAACAAAGACATTCCAGTTACAACACTTACGCGAGTACATCATTCAGCACATTACATGCCCGTCAACAAACTATTGCAATACAACACTCTAACAGTTTCCTGGACAAGCAAAGAACATGTATAATCTTTGACCTTGATGTGCGCCCTTGACCTTAAAGTTGAGGTGATGTAAAGACATGTGACACAATGTCTAGTGGTGGTACAAATGTGTATTAAGTTTCATTAAATTATCTTGAGCAGATCAGAAGTTACAGTCTATTTATATTGAATAAAATTTGACCTTGATTTTTGACGTTGACCTTGAAGATGGGGTGATGACACGATTATGCAACACGCTGTCTGATGGTGGTAAAAGTCAAATCAAGTTTTCTTGAGCGGGTCAGAAATTATGGGAGAGACAAGAGAACGTTTACATACACCCGGATGGATGGAGAATATACGTCTGCCTTTCGACGGGCGTATGAAAACAAAACTTAATGCTTTACAATAAACTGGAAAATGTTCTTCCTTTTTTACCCCTTCATTGAAAAACCATAACCACTGTATATAGTTTCTGAAAAAAAAAAAAAAAGTAAAATAGCATTAGCCTAGCGTATTTATAATTGAAGAAAACATGATGATGTGACATGAATGAGGCCAGTCCGGTGGGAGCAGGATGTACGATGACTGATGTCTGTATCTGCTGAAAGGGACAGAACCAGGCACGGGTCATTCCCGTGCAAATCACAACCATTTCCTGTCATGAACATAAACAGGAAAATTTCCTGCTGGCTAATTCCCAATGAGAGCAAATAAAAGTCAATCAGAGGAGTGTGGCTTTGGGCTGCAGTCAGCACTTGTTCTTGCTGAGTCGATGTTATTTTTATCATGTTTTTGTCCTCCCGCACTTTGCCTTCAACGAGTGATGAGTAAAATACAAATTCTGAACAAACACCAAGGACAAAGGAAAGTGGTTTACCTTCCATGCATCTTTGCTAAACTTATTGTGCAAATAGGAGGTGATGAATTGTGTGAAGATCATTTGCTTGAAACGGTTTAGAAATATTTAAACATGATGTGTTACTTTATACTGGAAGACATTTTCTTGGTATATAAAAAAAGTGTCATGTAGCTGTGTGCATTTCTGTATAGGATCAGACAAATTCAACAAAAACAGTGAATAGAGGTACATGATGTACTGCTAGCCGAAAATATTTCAACAAACCAGTTCTGTGCTGAGATTAGGGGAAAAAAAAGTGGATGGAAAAGAAGCAGAAGTTCTCTGGGGAGCTTTACATTTCTGTTTCACTCTGGAGGTTGACCTGAACACAACATGCATGTGTTGTTAGGAAGTCCATGGCTAAATCAGCTGTAATGTCACCGTGTTGAGAAAAATCATCATGTCCAGTTCATCAGGAAAATCTGACACATAGCAGACAAGTTCTCTGTGCATTAATCACTTATTTATGTAATTATAGACGCCTATGGTCCAGTTAATTATTGTGTGCGTACATGAACCTGAGATTATTTCCATTTTGTCTCACATGATGTTTAATAAGTGACTGTCCAACAAATGTGTGACAAAACTGAAGCCTAAAGACCTGGTTCTGCAAAGACCTGGTTCTGCTTCAACAAGACGTTAGACGTCAGATCTTGTTGACGGTCTTTTTCTCACGGTCATTTCATCCTCAAAATAGAACCGCGGGGGAGAAACCCTGATAAATCCTCCCACTGCAGCACACATCACACACAATCAGAACCAACAGTTCTCAGAGTGGATGTTAATTTTCTGTTGATGATAGAGGAGTTGGAGGAGGAGGAGCTGGTATTTCTGTTGTTAACTGAGAAGAAGCTCCATTTGGTAAATTTGTCACAAAGAGACTGCTGCAGTTTCCAACACACGGTGCGGGAACGTGTCCCTACGCTGCCTGGCTGGGGTGTCCTTCCTGGTCCCACTGGTTCTCCGTGCTGTCCCGTTTTCCAACAACCTCAGCCAGCCACTCCGCAGCAGACGCTGCTCTGAGGTCAGCAGACTGCAGTCACTGTACATACACAAACTAGTAAGAGACTAGTTCTGACTGGGGGCAATGCATAACATCAGAGGGTGATAGGAGTAAATGCTACTCAATTTTTGTCCCACACCCACATTAACAAGACACAAGAATGGGTCTGGGTCTTCTTAGGTCGTTTTCACACCTGATAGGCCGGTAGACTCTGTTCGATTGGGGACTAAAATTCAGAACATTTGTTTACATTTTGGTTCACAGTGACACTGCACCGAGTCAGTCGAGTCAACCTGTCAGAGTTTGCTTTTTGGGTCCGCATCAGAGTTCGAGTGCGTATTCACAACTCCCCAAAAGAAATGGACTTTCTAGACAAAACGGACTAGAGTTCGATTAAAGCGGACTAAACAGGGCTGGTGTGAATGCACCCTTAATGACTATAAATTAGTCTCAAGTCTGAGCCTTAAATCTACATTCTCTCCAACAACTACAAGGGGCAACGTGTATGGCAAAGAAAAGAAGACGGATTGTATGGAAAGCTATTAAAAAAATAACATGGAGCAAAAACTTTTACATTTACAGCAAAATTTCTGTATAAACAAGGTTTAAAATGAGTAAATATCTGTAACATTTTCACGTATGACGCAATAAAAACATTAAATCAAATTATTTTTACTGTGCTAAAAGTTATAAAAACTCCAACGTCACAATGTCTTTTTCATCTTTATGACGCCAGTTTTCTAAAAATGTCATGTTAAAATTAGTTTATGGCATGAATGGTTCTGAATAGTTACCGTGAACAGCATGGTCCGGTTCTCCTGCAGGCTGGTGGGGTGGACTTTCGAAGGAGTGAGTGAATCTGTAGTGTTCATGTTGGAAATCTCTGGTGAAAGTCCATTCTCATCCAGAGCATGTAAACTGGGGAAACTGTGGTCTCGCTTGAACAGAACATGTCGAGTTCCAGAAGTGGTGCTCCCCGCTGAACCATTACGAGCAGAACCACCTCCCAGTTCATTGGACTGCAAGCTTAATGCCCTCCTCAGCCCATCCACAAGTCTCCCACTATTTCCTCCTTTGTCAGTAGTCCCTGAGCTATGTAGCTGACTGAACTTCTCGATGCACTCATCTATTAGGGCGGGTGGGGCTTTCTTGTGAGCAACACTCACTCTGCCACAAAACAGAACCTCAAATTTTTTGGCAAAGGTTGATGGAGACACAACCGAGGTGGGATTTGTGGAGTTTGTTTCAGACGACGAACAGGAAACGTATGTTTCAGAGGAATCACCTCCTCCGGTTCCGGTGGACGTCTTGTTGGGATCGATGGTGAGGTCATTGTTGCGTGCTGAGCTTTTGCCAGCCTGCCTCAACGTACTGATGATCTCTGGGACCTGAAGAAATAGAAAGTGAGAAATGACTTCTGTTTAGTTGTTTAACCAGCACACTAAATGCAAAATGAGTGACTGTGGGGAAAAAAAAACAGGTGCTGGGAATTTTTTTTATTACAGGAATCTAACTGAACTAAAAAGATTACCACTGAAAAGTTTATTCAGAAATGAATAAAGGAAGAACATACTGGTTTAAATGGATCTGAAAAATCTTTATCACTATAGCAAAACTGGCCAATTTAAACCTACAGATCTCAACTAACATACTGTACACTGACATACCGTTACCTCAGTGTTCACAAAACATTTGACAAAAATCACTGGCACTGGCTTAAATAGATACTTGATATATTTTATTTATTTGAATGTTTTCTTAGTCTTCAAATTGTTATTCTGCTTTTCATTATGCTGTTCCCCAGCCCTTCCATATCCACCATATTCCTGGGGGCTCTAATGTTTAAAATGATTATGGTACAACTTCCTGTCAGACAGGAAGTAGCAGTAAACATTGGCTAATCATGGTAGTGGAGCACAGGCCGCAGTTTATTTGAAAGTAATTTGCATTTTGTTTACCAGCACTGTTTTTGTTTTGTTCACGTTTATTTAACAACCATAAAGTTTATTAAAATAGCATTGTGGCGTTCAGGAACCTGTTTACAGCTGCATGAACAACCAGACCAAACTAAATCAGTAGCTACAACAACAGAGTTTTGAACACGGACCAAGAACAAAAAAAAGGAGTGTTCCTGTGAAAAGCAGTATAGTTTCCATCGCCTACCTACAAATGAAGTTAGAAGAATGTGGCTGAAAAATGTGAACTTGAAGCAGCCAACCAAACACGGTCTCATTTCTCTTTGTTGACAAACAGCTGATGGAGGAAAACCTGCATCCTACTTTGTGTCTGGACTACAATAAACCACCAGAGAAGAGACGCCGGTTCCTCAGAAAGATTGAAAACAGTGTGTCAAAAATATTGGGTATTATTCCAAGTGTATGGAGGTCACAGCATCATAGTATTTGTTCGTCTTTAATATTATAATTTTCTCTGTAATCAACCCAAGCTCGATGATGGAGGACTTTAAGGCTTTGGCTGGGCTCTATGTCTGCTTTAAATAAGATTGTGTCCCACCTCTTAACAAAACATGACCGACCTCATTACTGTGTAGATATTAATACACCTCAGAACTTTTCATTCAGGGTGTTCATTTCTTCACAGTCGGAAGCGACAGAGTCTATGAAGTAGCCAAAATATGCTAGCGTATGTAATCTGTGGCCACTTCTTCAGGTCATCCTCCATCCCTCGTCTGCAGCAGTATAATTACAGTATATTGTCCTGTTTGAGCTCTGACAGGTGGTGTTCCTACAGGTTTAAATTAAATCCACAGTGCTCAGAGAAACTACATTAGCTCGTACTGTTCACACATAAACTAATGACGGTTTTGGTCCGCGTTGGAAGTTGCGCCCATAATTCACACAAGGCAGCATGGAGGCTAGGAATAAGGTGGCTATATGCGTGTGCGCACACACACACACACACACACACACACACACACACACACACACACACACACACACACACACACATACAGCTCAATATTGGCAACATCAAGAAGAGCTTTAGGATGGAGAAGTCAGACAATTATGATGTATCGGTACATTTACACAGATTTGTTGAGTGAAATATGCAGACAGATTTTAAAACAAGCTAAATTGACATGGCTGTAAAAGCAGGGTGTATTTCACTTCTCCTGGAAAATATAACTGATGTATGAAATAAACAAATATGTCCAGCATAATGTAGGTCAATCCCGTGACTCAAGTTTCCAGGTGGTTTTCAGCAGATTGAGGCGAGTGCCTTTTTTATACTGAATGGGCATTTCACAATTACATATTAGTTTCTCTAGAAAACTAATGTATTTATAACAATAATAACAACAATAATACACACTTATATATATATATATACACATATATACACACACACACACACACTTTTTTTTATAATTTTTTTTTTATAAACTGCACGACTTCACATAGTTCAAGATACTTGTTCTATGGCTTATTTTATAGCTTATAATAATAATAATAATAATGTCATCACAATGTCAGCACTGTATGTTTCCATACAATGGCGAAATTAGTCTCTGCATTTAACCCATCCACCACCAGGTGGTGCAGTGGGCAGCTATTGAAAGCGCCGGGAGGCATTTTGGGGATGAGGTGTGCTGCCCAAAGACACCACGTGATGTGCAGTGACTGGGGATCGAACCTGGGACTTTTGGGTCCCAAGCCGGCTGCCCTGCCTCTACACCATCTCGGCCCCTTATAATGAATTGCATTAAATATAAACCTAAATATTGCCTCGTTTAGAGCCATTATAACCTTTATGTGACACTTTTGCTTATAACCAGCAGTCTATCAATTGACATAATAAAACATGTTTCTTCTTGCTGTACTTCATTTGATTATGAAGATTCTCCGCAATGAAGGTAAATAAATACCAAAATACAGATGGCGGTACAGATCGTTAAACAGAAGACACACTACACAGAAACATATTCTAAACGTATAATTATGGATACCACACCTTACCATGCGGTAACCTGCTGTATGGTGCAACGCATGTTATGACTCCCTAAAACAGTGCAGCTTTTGTGACATCATCTCCTGAAAAGAAGCCAAATTAGGATATTTCATCACAAAGAGAGCTTTGTACCAACTTGCCTGTATTTTTTAAATTCTCTGTCTTTACCCTATTCTCAGTGTTTATTACCGTTCTTCAGGAGAATCTCTTTTGACTTGATGTATTCTTTTAGCATTTAAACACTGATGGGGCTGCAGAAGCTCGGGGGTCAGTACAACATTGACCATTACTTCATCTATGCACAATACTGATTTAATGCTTTAAATAGTGATTGTCAGCGGACTAAAATCAAACATCCTTAGAACCTGGTCCTAAAACTGTGCAAAGAAAATAAATCCAGGTAAGTTTCCAGAAGACGCTATGAAGCCAAGATATTGAGATATATGCTGGGATGAGGCCATTAACACCCACAACATGTAGTAAAAAGTGTGCAATGGAAGGCTGTTCTTTGAATGAACAATTATATGAACAGACTTTGAACAGTTTATAGAGAAAACGATTATATGTCATTTTAATTGAGGTCACTTGCCTGCAGATAAAATTAGAATGTTCCCCGATATGTATAAATATTTTGTCGTTTGCTTGATTAAAACATTGTTAAAATTATAAAGAATGTATTTAAGCAGTTATTTTCTGGTTATAACGCCTTTCGTATAACAAAATTTACTCAAAATGCACCTAGTAATAGACAAGTAGGCAAAAGACAGTTTATTTCACAACAAATACATTAAAATGTGTTAAAGATCAATTAAACTCGTCTATTAAGGAAAACTAAAACCTCCAAATGATAAATATATACTGTACTATACAATCTACATCTAAAGGAGATACATAAGCAGAGCAGATTGATGAAATAGTGCAGAAAACAACAAAGTCCATGCTCAATAATCCAGGTATACAATCCAACAATTTTCAGTCAGGTCATCTGGACAGTTTCTTGCAGAAGTTAATCTAAAAATTAAAGTCATAACTGCATGAAGCCAGGCCATTATTTAGTTCAGTCTTTTTTATGACATTATATAACGTGTTTAGCCCCCAAATCCTGATTGTTAATGTAAACAACACATATGGATTATTTGCATATGTATGCTCAATAATGCATTCAAACAGACTGGGTGTCAATTTGAAATATTTAACTAATAAACTATAATCATGAAAATAAATTATAAAACCCAACTTTATTAGGGCCCGACAAGAGCCGTCAACACATTTTAAAAATAAAAATAAAAGTCTAGAGATCCTAAAAGAAAGCTAATCAACTGCTGGCTTTCATGCCCCTTTTAAACTCAGAACATCTTGGACAAGAAGTTACAGGCTTTAGCCATTTTAGTTAAACCTTGTACTAAAGACATTAAGTTACGATCTTGTGATTTAATGCGACTTTGAGATGCGTTAGAGAATATGTTAACGAAGGACTCTCACCTACTACCATGCATGAAAGATTTAAATCAACATCCACAACACTGGCAGAGTTACGGGTTTGCTAAGATACAGTAGATTAGCTCTGGCAGCTATTGAATGTGATTGACTCAAGAAGTTAATCAGGTTAGTTTTCTGACCAGTTACTGTCTGAGTGTGGTGTGTGTGTGTGTGTGTGTGTGTGTGAGGGCACATTATTAACAAAAACTAAGTGAAACTGAACCAAAAAGAAAAACAGACGTACCGGTCAGATAAAGGTTTGTTAAGATCGCAGACAAATCAATAACCTACAGTGTGTTTTATTGCTCAAACAATCACTAATCTTTACTTGATACGACAGGAACACTGTACGCTGATTAATATTCTGACGATCACTAGGGAAAGCTTTGACATCAGCGATAAAATAAAAGAAAGAGAGAAAACTTCTTCTAAACGAGTAAAACAGCTCATCAAAGCAGTGAAACTAGGAACAAGAGAAAAACTGGAATTCATGCAAAAAATGTAAGTTAATGAACCATTATCCACCTCCCAATGACGATTTTAGAGATTTCATCAGAAAGTGTTCCTATACCTTTGTATAGGAGTGAAAATGGCATGGAACTCAGAAGAAAATAAAATAAAATGAACAATGAAAGGAAAAAGAAGAGGTTTACTGTGCCTGTGAAAAATTAACTATCAACCATTTGTCTTTATATATTCCAAAAAAAAAAAAAAAAAAAAAAAAAAAAAAACATTTTGCTCCAAGCATATACCAAACCCATAAACTAAACAACAACGTTCAAATCTGAACATACCGGTTGACTGACAGCACAAGAAACAAAAACTAGCTGCCGTAAATGCTTCTCCTATTTTGGTTCATTTTACTGACACTCCAGCGGCAGCGTGTCAGAGCGAGGAACAAACTGTAGGAAGCAGAGCCGAGCTGAAGCAGTGGCTGAGC